ATAAATGAAGTGATTGAATTTCATAGCTATTTCTTACTTGCTTAGTAGGTTTAGGGTTTACCATTACGAGATTCAGGGCAACGACCAGATTCACACAGAGAGGTAAGAAGCAGCACTGATTACAGTGCATTACTGCACCCACCACATGACAAACCACCTCAGGGATGTGAACCTGAGCACAGTGACAGGTGATACCTCAGCACCACACCAGTCCAAATGGACCAGTGGCAGGAGTGACAATCCTGCCACCAACCCCCAAGTTTCTCCCTGTAAGTTGGAGGAGCTCCTTATGGGGCTGGATGTAGATTAACATCATTCCCAGGATGAAGCAATTGCAGCTTAAGGGCCCAACGAAGTAGAATCACTCTGGGCATTCACGGGATTTGAACCCACAACCGTCCAGTTACTGGCATAGAGCCCTAGCCTCAGAGTCAGCACTCCACCCCACTCTGACTCACACAACCGACATTTTGTTTATTCTGGCAAACAGTTTGATATAAAGGTGACGTGTTGAAGAAATCAGGGTCAGCCAGTCCCTCGAGCAATTGGGGTTGAGTGTCGCTCAAGAGCTCAGTGATGACATCACACTATTTACTACGGGATCTGAACCAACGACCTTTGCAATCACAGGCACAGCATCCTAACCTACTGTTTGCTCAAGCTGGAGCTCCTGATCACACAGCTGCCTGTTTTGCATGCACGTTACAGCAGCATAATTAGTCACATGACCAAACTCTCACGTACGCACAGGTCCGCCAGCTGCCAGCAAATGCTCAAGCGTCATGCGACTACCCTGGCGAAAGCGCTTGGATTCCCATGATGGCAAACAGCTGTTTGTATCCAGTAAAGCTCCTGAATCCACGCGTGGCATATTTCTTTGCTTTCATGGTCTTGCTGCATGACTAATTGCCATCTGGCTCAGTAATTAATCTCTGGTTACCTCCTATACAGTTTCTTCCAGGGGCAGGAACAAAGGCAGTGACTGTGATTTTTTTGTGTTGTGAGCCCAGATGAGGCTCCTCAGGATTCAGGCGAGCGTGTTACTGCCACGACGCGACAGTCGCCTTTATTTCCATCTCCTTCCAGGGTGACACCTGGGAAATTTCCATGGACGGCTGTCTGTCTTCTTTTTCCGGGTGTTTCTGAGAATGCTGGCACACAAATGGCCCTGGCTGGATAAGTTAGGGAGGTGTGTGGCTCAGTGGGTTAGCACACTGTGGCTGGGAATAGAAGGTTGTTGGGTCAAATCCCATGGAAACCGTGACCCCCTGATAATACCAGTGTCCGTGGTGACCATAGGAGGGCTGGTAAATGAGCAGATCTGCTGGAAACCTTCTTCCAGAAGGTTCTGAAGAAACATTCCTGAAGCATGCCCAACCAATAAATTATGTGAGTTCTACTGATCATCTCTATCAAATAATTATGCCATAGCCTATAGCTAAAGGTTTTGGAAGAATCTACAGCAGCACTTATTATTTTTGAAAGCAGGTCTTTCCTTTGATGGTGAACCCAGGGCTGGCCTAACCCTTTATGGGGACCTAATCAAAATTTGAATTGGGCCACATACCCTAACTTACACACACCAGACAGCCAATCAGATGGGGCTCCCTGGTGGCTGCTGGTGGCTTTGGGACCAGCAGCCTCTTACTGTAGTTTGCCTATGGCTTGGGCCAACCCTGGGTGGACTGACTGAGTCAAAGGGTGGGTTCAAAATGCTGGACTGATCAATAGAGACGTAAATCAGAAGAAGCCACTGTTCCACAAGCCAGACAATCACACATGAGCCCATGAAGGAAGCCTATCCCCATAGGGAGCCCTATTTCATGGAGAGGTCCTTCCCGTTATGTGCTGCTCTAAGACGCAAGAGACATTTGCCAGAATTGATTGGGTAAGCTAATCACATGACCACATAATGTGAACCAATCATCGAAGCCAACATAAGCATGGGCAACCTGGAAGAGAATCCACATAACAGATGTAAACCAGGTAACAAGAGAATCAGATATAAAAAAGGGTTTGAGGGATAAACTTGCTTCTTCTTAATGACGTGATTCCTGCTGTGAAATGTCTGATATGCAGGATGTGTCCCGGCATCATGTCAGCAGCCGAACCAGTCAGTGGCCTTTTATAAGTGACTCTCAGCGGACTGAGGAGAGAGCTGTCAGTCAGGCAAACAGAGACATCATATGTGCTGTTTCCTTCCTGTTTTTAATCTACAGGGTTTATATTTATATGACAACTAATCTCTGAAATCTCTGCAACAATCTAAAGAAGAAATACCTTGAAAAACTGATACATTTTCTAAAGAGTGTTCATGCACGCCTGCAAATATCATTCTTTAAAAATGTTCCCCTCGACAAAATAAGGTCAACTGAACAACGTTCCTGACACATTTACAAAAATTACAGAAAAGCAATGAAAAACCTGGAGGTTTTACTCTTTGTGTGACTTAGATTTAACAAGTGAAACATCCTGTAATAAACCAAACCAAAAAAAACATCTTACAACTATAAGACAGTCAAACTATAGAGTTTAGAGAGACATTTCACAGAGAACTTAATGCTAGAAAATGCCTCACAGGTGAAGCTCAATGTGATGCGATGGGGGTCACTATAGCCTCACACACTCAGGGGGGTTGTGGGTTCGAGGCCCCGGGTGTGGGGATTGCATGTTGTGTGGCAAAAGACATGCGGTTTATGTAAATCGGAGTCTGTCAATGTCCCTTATTGCACGTCTGTCCTGTGATAGACTGACATGCTGTTTTTATATTTGTGCTACCTGTGACTTGTTGAGTTTGTAAAAATATAACTTTCTGTATTTTGTAACTAATTAATTAAGACAAGAAGCACCATCACACACACACATGCAGACACATACACACACGCATTTGGGAAACTGCAAGTAAGTGGAACACCTCTGCACTTTCGCATTTTGTTAATGTCATTTTTATATTGTTACACGGTATATAAATTAGATTCCAAGGCAATGTAATTGCGCAGTTCGAACTGTAATTCAGAAGCTATTACCATGATGCGGAGTGACTTATAGGGCAATAAACAGAAGAAAAAAATTAAAGTAAATAATAATAATAATAATAATAATCCAGTTGGAGCACATTAAGTTCCGCTTCCTGGCTCGTTACAATACGGCTACGTAAAGAAAAGCATTTATACACCTATACTGTTACCATATACAATTAAAGGTTATATGTCTTTTTGTTGGGTTGAAATTGTATATATTATCACTCACGTGTATTCTCAAGGATGCATAACTTGTTCCATGTAGCACCTGTGTAAATGCTCAACAGTAACTTTCTATCATGTGCAGCAGACGAGGCCACCTCTGACGCACGTTCTGTTGTTCCTGTTCCCACTCCCACATTCACATTGGTTCCATCCCATTCTAAAATGTTGTTCACACCCACAATGTAACCTGATATCAGTATGTTTACCTTATAGTATAAATAAACTCTGTCGAGGGGCCACACCTTTGTAGCTCACACTGAGGTGGGGTTACCCTTGCAGCAAGTAAATCAGCGCGTGTCTCATACTCTGTGGGCCAGCAGCCGGGGGGGCGGGGGGGGGGGGGGGGGGCTGATCACTCTCCCCGAAACTTTTTGAACTTGTTTCCTTATTTTACATTAACCTGAAAATGTACTCTGATGGAGGAGAGACGCTTTCCCTCTGTGGTGTAAAGCACAGGCGGATTTTGATTAAGTAAATGCATAGTTGCAAGTGCGCCCCCTACCGCCATTATGTTAATACCCGCACAAAGGTGTCAAAATGTGTAAAGGCCTATGTACCATGAATTTGAATGATTTATTAATTATTATTTTATTATTGATGATGATAATAATAATAATAATCAGAACAAGCCTAACTGTTTTTAATTAAGATTATTAACCTGTCCAGTGAATGTTGTCTTTATTTTATAGTGAGTCCTGTGGTATGAATATTAGCGCTCTATCGAGTTACTGTAAAATTAACCACGTTATTTTGAATCTGAACAGAACCTTAATGTCATCAGATATTAAAATCAGCAAATGCCTTATTGTAAGTTATATTTGTAATGTAAATTTTATTCTACATTTAATTGTATTTTTGAGCTCAAACAGTAAGCTCAAGGTTATACTTTACACAGACCACAGCAAAACAATCATTATAACCCGTTTAAGCTGCAAAATGTTCAATATGACTGGAATTATAAGCTCAGGGGACTTTGTGGGAAAATGAACTTGTAACGTTTTAGTAATTCCCAAAAATAGCCCAAAAAGCCCCATGAATACACTTCCAATCGATCCAGTTATAAATAAAATTAAATACAGTATATACAACCTGATCGTATAAAACCATGCCCAGCCTCTAACATACCGTGTAACCCTTATAATTTAGTGATCACGCTTAAAAATCCGCATGGACGTCAGATCATTAAATCTATTAATCTATTAATCCATTCAATGTCGACAGTGAACAAATATCCTTCTGAATCGATTTCAAACTGCAATTTTTTAAATAAAAGACCACTTTAACATCTGCATAATAATAATAATAATAATAATAATAATAATAATGTTATGAAACATTTTCATGCAAAAATGTATTCAGATATTCCAGTTTTATTCCTAAATCCCCGTATTTTCTGACCAGTGGATTTGAGATTTACTCGCATTTCTGTCATCTGAAGGACTTTTCAGATGTTATCCGAAATAAAAAAGTGAAACCAGAAAGTTTCCGCGCGAGGGACGAACGCGTGTAAAAATAGCGGGACTGAGCCACAGGACGCTACACACCAAATAAATAAAAGACAGTCAATAATGAAGGTAAATAAAACAAATCGGGCATTTCCACGCAGAGAAGACTATCGCTGGAACAAATAGGTCACCTAATTAAACGCTTGTCTCGGTTTTTTTTTTTCCTGCTATTTTTTTTTTTTTTTTTTTTTTTTTGCTTTTTTCACCCCAGAGTCTCCGGCCAGAAAGTCCCACATAAGAAATAAATTACCTCCAGATCTGACCCAGCTGCAGGATGTGGATGATGGACTGCAGAAGCCAGATGCAGAAGGAGCAGGACCTCTTCTTGTTGGCCGCATGGTCGCTGATGCTCGCGGTGGTGCTGGACGCCTGAGGTGCGGATGGGTGGGAGCCCATGTCTCCGTGCGAGGCGGAGGCGCTCAGCACCTTACCGTCCGTGTGAGGGCGATCGGCGGCGGCACCGGCGCTGCCGTCCGAGCCGAAGTCGTGCACGAACCATCGGAAACTGAAGAGTTGGACCGAGAAGGAACCGAGCACCGCGAAGAAGAGCGTGAGCCCGAACCACCAGTAATCACGGCGGAAGTAATAGTCCACCGACAGCCACACGTCGGTGCCCACGTCGGCCAGATACACAGCGGCGGCGGCCAGGATCCATAGGCAGTCCCACACCGAGTAGTCCCGCTGCTGCCTCCCCAAGCGCAGGCACGCCGAGGACGATCCGCAGCAGCGCGGCTCCCCGCTCACCAAGTCGCCCTCTGGTGCTCCGGAGCCCGGCTGCGAGCCCGGGACCATCCCCTGCGACTGATCGCAGTCCTGGAGGGGCGTGAACGCCACATCGCCCCTTCTCATCTTCAGCACCCCGTCCGACTTCGCGGCCATTACAGCAGCCCTCCCGTTATCTAAGCCGCACCGTCTTCTTCCTCCTCCTCCTCTTCCTCCTCCTCCCCCCTTTCTCTCCTCCTCCTTTCTCTCTCTGTCCCCGGGAACCGGCGATCGGAGCCTGGGCTGGGCGACCTCCTCTTCCTCCAGCTCATAACAAAGCGGCGCTTCCTCCCGGCAGCAGGTACTCACCGGAGGCTCTCCCATGGCACACATTTAGGCTATGACATCATCGCTTTCTGCAACTGCTCTCCAGTCACTCATCACACTTCTCCCCTCCATCGGCTGCTGCAGTGTAGCCAGGACACATGGGGGGAGGGGGACGTGGCTTTAATCAAACTTAGAATAAAATCACATCGTGCGTTTTATCACCCCTATTGCTGATTACCCTAAAGCGTAAAATGAAGCCGTTTCACAGACATTCGGGTATATGCCTGCACAGATACGAGGCGAAGCCTCATTTACATTTAAGTGTAATTCACGGTTTACCCTACACATGCATTTAGTACGATGGGGGTATAGTGGGCGCTGGATTTAAATGACAATAGGAATTTAAATAACACAGTGTTGCCCTTTTAAAATGCACGTCTGTATAAAAAGGGTGACTTATTTCCTTAAATGGGACGGGATTTACGGGCGTATTCCTGTATATCGCGGGCTGGGCATTTTTCAGCACCATGGAAAGCTCCCGTATGGGGATGGTCTGCCTCGGCCACGCGGTCCTCAGACAGAAGGTGCGCCCTGGGTGACACTTTGAACATCATTCATCTCCAGGGGGACGCGACCCATGTGCCGTCAGACTGCTGCTTTTTCAGGCTCAAGGTTTCTAAGACAGCAGTACACAAGAAAAGGGTGAAGCTGGAGACACTGACCAGAAACCAGTCAGGTAGAGGACATAAGCAACTTTATAATGCCAGATATGACTGTTAATTTATCCGGCAGTGCCTCGAAAATCGGAGGATGACCTCAAGTGACCTTCAAAAACGATGGAAAACGTAAGAGATTTAGCCTGTTTCATGTAAACATTAAAAGAATCTTTATTGCAAAACCAGGAAACCTTTCAGTGTGATTAAGAGTTAAACCACATGTGTGTTTCTGAAATGATCCTTCATCTGCCATTTGTACAAGAATAAAAACAGTTACATTGGAACATGATAGTTTTCATGTATCACATTCGTCTCTCCTTTTTTTTGTAACAATAACGCCAGATATAAAAATGAGAGTGAAGCCTGGAGTCCGAGTGCAGGGTCAGGCTTCCATCCTGCACCCCTGGGGCATTTTCATGGGGTTAAGGGCTGAAGAACCCAAAGAAGATGTGGCCACCTTATGACCCCAGGGATCAAACTGACAGCTTTCCAGTTACAAAGACAGAGACCTCAGCTGCTGGGCCACACACTGACATTACTCAGGTGCATCCTGTCATTTACTGACATCCCATCTAAACACAGACCTGAAAGTCATGAAATCTGAAAAGTCAGATTCAAGGTCACGCAGAAAGATGAATACACTTGCATAACCTGAATACAAGCACACACAGTCCCCCCCCATTCAGGTTCTGTAGCAGAAATAACCACCTTTTCACAGGTATAATTCGGCTGCACTGTTCTTCAGCTGTTCTTGTTACACACTGTAAGCTGCAGTCGCCTCTCAAGCACAGAAAGGTTAGATCCTGGAATCTGATCTCAGGCTCACAGACGTAAAGCACTGAAACATGAATAGTATAATTGCTTACAGTGGATCTTTGTATCTTTCAGTGTGACCTGTCTTTAAGTGTTACTGGTCTTCCCTTCTCCTTCAGTTGGGTGTACAGTTATTAAGAGATCTCTGGTTGGGGCCCAAAGGCGATGGGATCATACCTATGATAATTAAATATGCATGTAAGCAGGCCCTTTCATAATCCTCTCCATTCAGATGGCTCTGTTTTAATTAAGACTCGTTCATTCCAGGAGACTCCTTCTTTCGCTACATTGTTCTGGGAGCTTGTCAACAGCTAAGCCATGGTAAATGGCTCTTGACTGCCATCTGCTGGCCGCTTCCCTCATGGCGTCTTCGGTCACATCTGGGCTCAAAGATGAGCAAATGACCGTTTCAGGGCCTATTTGATCGAATAAACAGTCGATTGTTTCTGCATGAATTATGAATCATAATTATTTACATGTTGAGTTGACGCTATTATCCAGATCGACTTAGATAACACAGAAACACGGGAACTTTATTCACTTACACACAAGGAATAATGTCTTGCTTATGTACAGCCCCGACGTCAGAATGATTTTGCCAGGCGGACTATGCGTCTTACATGAGGGGGGAGTATGAGAAACCGCTTAGGCCAAAATTCCATATTTCACTTGCACATACATATATACATTAAGCATGTGCACATACATGCATACTGTCATGCATACACATACATACACACGCATGCACATTCATAGATACACAAGTTCACATACATACATATAAGTTTTGTATGCATGTGTGAACAAAAGTACGCATGTATGTGTGAAAAGAAGAATGTATGTATGTATGTATGTATGTATGTATGTATGTATGTATGTGTGAGTGCACTAAAGTATGCATACCGGAAGGCACCGACACTAACCAATAATAAACACAAAAGAAGCAGGAGTTGAGGTACAGGAGTTGAGGTACAGGACTTGAGGTACAGGAGTTGAGGGTTGCAATTTACATTACACCATACCGCCCACAGGATGCAAAGACCGCCATCCGCCATGTTGGTACATTTGTCATCTGCTCGACTCTGTGTGTATAGTCTCTGCCTTTTATTTGCTTATGTCATGGTCGAGTGTGCTGTTTTTTGGCTGCAACAACAAGAGTGTCCATGAGTGTTTATCAACTCTGTCTGTGGCGGTACTCCCTAAGGTACGCAGACCGGGGAGTGGCCAGATCTCTGCAGGTGGACACACCTGCTTTTGGTCTGGTTGGTCTGACGGCTGCCATACTCAGGGAGTAGCTGTTGCTGTGGCGGATCGACTCCTCCCGATGGTGTCTGATGTCACTGCTTTCAACAAGTGTACTATGAGACTAAGGCTGAGACACTCGTTGGATGTCTTGTCTGTTGTCTCAGTGTATGCGCCGACCACAGTGAGTGATGTCTCATTGAGGGAGACATTTTAATTGCAACTTCGCTTGGTAGTTGATGGGTGCCCACGAGGTGACACTCCTCTGGTCATGGGTGACTTCAGTGAGACCACTGGCACTTACAGGGCTGGTCATGAGGATTGTGTTAGTCCCCATGGGTCTGGAGACCGGTGTGACAGTGGCTCCATGTTCCTCAACTTTGAGAAAGGTCAGGGGCTGCGGGTCGCTGTATCCTGGTTCCAATGCCCTGAGCCGCATCGTTGGACTTGGTACACCACAATACTGGTGGTGCAGCGAAGGAGAATGATCACATCCTTGTGGCCAGACGCTGGAGGCTCCTGTTGAACTGCAGGGTCTACAAGAGCGCCCAACTTCTGAGATCTGACCACAAGCTTGTTGTTGCTACTTTGAAGATTCAGCTTAGATCCAGTAGGCTACCGAAAACTCCAAGTTGTTTTTGATGAGTTTGCACACAGTTTGTGTGAGGAACTTGCAGACTTGGGTACGACTGCTGACTCTAATGTGAGGTGGGAGACCATCTGTGATAAGACCCTGAAGGTCGCCAAGGGTTGTGTTGGTGTTCCCAGTGTTCCCAGAAGGAGGTGATTCATCTCGCAGGGTACCCTGGATGTTATCAAGAGGAGTCGCAGCGCAGGACTTGGTGGCAACTCCAGTCTGAAGCTAACCTTTCAGCTAGGACATTGGACATCTCTAGGTCCACGGTTCTCCTGGATGATCCTCCAATCAGCTGTGAACCACTCGATCTCACTGAGCAGGGGGTAGGGAAGGTGACAGGAAACTGTGGTATTCGGGGTGAACTTCTCCAGGCTGGTGGTAAGGCTGTCTTCCTGGCATTGCAGGCAATTTTTGCTTCAATTTGGGAGTCAGGCATCATCCCAACTGACTGGAAAATTGGGACTTGTAGTCGATATCTGAAAATAGAAGGGTGTTCGTCTGGATTGCAGCAACTACAGGGATAACACTGCTTTCTGTGCCAGGTAAGGTCCTTGCTAGGATCGTCCTTAACAGGATCCGTGATCGCTTGCTTGCCTGTCAGTGACCAGAGCAGTCTGGTTTTACGCCTAAGATGTCTATGATTTTTGTAAAGCATTTGACTCAGTTGATCGAGTTGCCCTATGGGGCATCCTGAGACTTTGCTGGATCCCCCCGAAATTGTTGGACATCATGTCCGGCCTGTACACTGGTACTGTGAGTGCTGTGCAGAATAGAAGGAGAACTGCTGTGCTCTTCCCAGTTGATTCTGGGGTTCACCAGGTGTGTGTGAAGAAAGATTTACTGATCTTGTGATGATGTTGTGAACGATGTTGTGATCTCAGCGGAGTCGACGGAGGCTCTGATCGGGGGCTTTCGAGAAACTGAGTGAGGAATCTGAGTATCTGGGATTGTGGGCATCCTGAATAAAGACCAAGATTCAGGCATTTAATGACTTCTTGGGCCCAGCCATCAGTCGTGTGTCTGTCTGCAGGGAGAAAGTCGACCTTGTCGAGAGATTTACCTACCTTGGCAGCTACGTGTCTCTGGTGACTCTTCCTATGAAGTAAGCAGATGGATTGGGAAAGCATGGGGGGTCATGAGGTCACTGGAAAGGGGTGTGTGGCGCTCCCGATATCTTTGCAAGAGGACGAAAGTCCAAGTCTTTAGAGTCCTGCATGGTGCTTCTTGTATTGTTGTATGGCTGTGAGACATGGATGCTATCAAGTGAGCTGAGACGAAGACTGGACTCCTTCAATGCTGCATCTCTTTGGAGAATCCTTGGGTACCACTGGGTACGAGCGGTTGCTAGAGGAGTTCCAATTGAGGCATGTTACCTGCATGGTGAGGGAGCATCAATTATGGCACTATGGCCATGTGACATGTTTCCCTGAGGATGATCCCGCTGGTAGGATCCTCATTGCCCAGTCCAGAGTTCCCCAGGTCCGACATTGACGATGTTACCCTGTGTTGTCTGCTCCCAGCCTTCCTTTGTTAACCCTGTTTGAATCCTTGCAGTCCTATTTATTTTCTGTTAGTGTTTCTTCAGTTCAGTAAAACCACTTTTGTTTCAATCCTCGCCTGCTCCCTCTTCCTCTGTTCCCTCAGATACAACAGGACGTCCATAAGATGACCCTGTTACTAAGAAAAACAAAGAAATCCTTCAAAAACATTTTATTATGACAGCTTGCAGGAATAGCTCATACATACATAATACAAAACATCCATAGGATATCTGTCATGTCTTAAAACATGACTGGTTCAAATCCCATGAATGCCTGGAGTGATTCTCCTCCATTGGGCCTTTGAGCAAGAACCTTAACCTGCAATTGCTTCATCCTGGGTATGAATACATCTACATCTATAACCTATAAGGAGGTCCTCCAATATACCGGGGAAAAACTTGGGGGTTGGTGGCAGGATTGACACTCCAGCCACCG